ATTGTACTTAATAAAAGATTACTGGAACTGTTCGTATTGTATCTCACAGAACTGGGTGTCTTTATTAGATTGTACTTACTAAACGATTACTGGAACTGTTCGTATTGTATCTCACAGAACTGGGTGTCTTTATTAGATTGTTCTTACTAAACGATTACTGGAACTGTTCGTATTGTATCACAGAACTGGGTGTCATTATTAGATTGTACTTACTAAACGATTACTGGAACTGTTCGTATTGTATCTCACAGAACTGGGTGTCTTTATTAGATTGTTCTTACTAGACGATTACTGGAACTGTTCGTATTGTATCTCACAGAACTGGGTGTCTTTATTAGATTGTACTTACTAAACGATTACTGGAACTGTTCGTACTATATCTCATAGAAGTGGACGTCTTTATTAGAGTGTACTTACTAAACGATTACTTCACACAACTGTATGGGTTCCGAGTGGAATTTTGTTTAGTAATGGGAGAATATTTGTACGATATAAAAATATTAGAAAAGTATTTTGTTTTTCGACAGAAGCCAAATACCCCCGCCAAATATGCCCCAAGAAAAGACAACAACAAACTTTAACATTTAACATAACTCTAGCTGTTTGTCTGAAGAAATCCTCACTCTGAATCTTTTCTGCTGAACTGTTAAGCTATGCTGAAAAACAGAAAATCACTGCTCATTCACCACGTGTTTGAGGATTTTCGTACAGAGAAACATAAAGAGATACATTAGCACAGCCGTTTCTAATTTTGAACTGATAGACTGGAGTGGGATTTGACCATGATTTTTTTTTATATCATACCCACGGACCCAAATTGCGGATTCAAAATTTGAGTATGCAAACCCAACAAATAATTATATTACTTAGTACGTTCTGAATGAATACTGGATTCTAATGGGAATTATATGGTTATTGTTTCCTTTGTTTGGACAAATAATTATATTACTTAGTACGTTCTGAATGAATACTGGATTCTAATGGGAATTATATGGTTATTGTTTCCTTTGTTTGGACAAATAATTATATTACTTAGTAATGAATACTGGATTCTAATGGGAATTATATGCTTATTGTTTCCTTCTTTAAGTTAATGACTCCGATATTTATAGTGTTTTAGTAGGTTTACTTTGACACCTCTTGGCACAAGCTTTGTAATTCAATAATTAATAAATGTTCAAACAGAAAATAACAAACGTCAGTAATTAATTCCTTCTCAGACGAGATTATGATAACCTTAGATGTCTGACTTTTTCTCTCTCTCCTTCTCCTGAGAGGCACTGACGAAATGTTCATGTAAGAGATAAAAGGTTCTTCTAACTTTAGCTAAAGCTTTAAACATTAGCTCAACTGTTCCTACTATATAGCTTCGCTTGCCCTGTAACTTATACAATTAATGTTACTAAAACCAAAATTTTTCCTTAAATCTCTTAGCGGGGTGAGGGGATGTGGCGTGGCCTAGTCAAACGAAGGAAACAATAACCATATAATTCCCATTGGAATCCAGTATTCATTCAGAACGTACCCTTCGTTTGAACAAATAATTATATTACTTAAATGGGAATTATATGGTTATTGTTTGGAATCCAGTATTCATTCAGAACGTACTAAGTAATATAATTATTTGTTCAAATGAAGGAAACAATAACCATATAATTCCCATTAGAATCCAGTATTCATTCAGAACGTACTAAGTAATATAATTATTTGTTCAAATGAAGGAAACAATAACCATGTAATTCCCATTAAAATCCAGGATTCATTCAAAACGTACTAATTAATATAATTATTTTTTCAAACTGCCGTTTTTGTGAGCTAACTTTTTCCATGTGTTTGCTTGTCTATTGTTAAGCACAAAGCTACACAGTGGGCTTTCTGTGCTGTGCCCACCACAGGTATCGGAATGCGGTTTTTTAGCGTTATAAGCCTTCAGACTTACCTCTGAGCCATTGGGAAGCATTACCCACGTGAAGATAGTTTAGTAAATTCTGACGCTTTACTACACGGAATACCACGGTGAGGAACTCCGGTATATAAGGTTCCTGGACTTTCTGTTGTTTACGTTGTTGATCTATAGGAAATATTAAACGCACGACAAGGAAAGAGAATCGAACACCGTCCACGTACATAGGCGGGCTCGAAGAAGAAACAAATTCACTTCGAATTACATTTCTTCACTGTGAGAGCTAGTAACTATGGTAACATTGTAAATTTCACATTTACGTAGGTGCACGCAGTGTTGGTTGAAACACGCCAGCACGAGTCACACTAGTTCAGTTTTAAAGTACTGCAGCAGTGTAACAGTGGCTGTAGATACGTGGAAGGTAAGTGTGATGTTTTGCTGTTGTTAGTCGGGCGTTAACGGAAAGACGAGAATATATTGGGAACTTTACACAGATGCTTATTTGTGTGTATAATAAGCAATTATTGACGGAAAGTAAATCTATTATAAATGGGTGAATATGTCGAGGCTTGCACTATCTAGCTTAAGTTTGGTTGTTGATGGCGTTTAGTTTCTAGCGCAAAACCATAGAATGGGCTATTTGTACTCTTCGTAAACTCACCACCAACCAACGGGAGGTGGGGGTGGAATAACCTTAGGTTTGAAGATTTAAACTAAACAGATAGACTTGCATACTCAAATCAAAATACTTACGTAGCATTCCTAAAGCTTAACAGGGTAGATGTAACCTAGTGTCTTAACGTGCTGCATTACAAGGTAGATGTAACATAGTGTCTTAACGTGCTGTATTACAGGGTAGATGTGACCCGGTGTCTTAACGTGCTGTATTACAGGGTAGATGTGACCTAGTGTCTTAATGTGCTGCATTACAAGGTAGATGTAACATAGTGTCTTAACGTGCTGTATTACAAGGTAGATGTAACATAGTGTCTTAACGTGCTGTATTACAGGGTAGATGTGACCTGGTGTCTTAACGTGCTGTATTACAAGGTAGATGTAACATAGTGTCTTAACGTGCTGTATTACAAGGTAGATGTAACATAGTGTCTTAACGTGCTGTATTACAGGGTAGATGTGATCTAGTGGTTTAACGTGCTGTATTACAGGATAGATGTGACCTAGTGTTTTAACGTGCTGTATTATAGGGTAGATGTGACCTGGTGCCTTAACGTACTGTGTTACAGGGTAAATGTGACCTAGTATCTTAACGTGCTTTATCACAGAGTAGATGTGACTTAGTGTCTTAGCTTGCTGTATAACGGGTTAGATGTGATCTAGTGTCTTAACGTGCTGTATTACAGGGTAGATGTGATCTAGTGTCTTAACGTGCTGTATTACAGGGTAGATGTGATCTAGTGTCTTAACGTGCTGTATTACAGGGTAGATGTGATCTAGTGTCTTAACGTGCTGTATTACAGGGTAGACGTGCCGTAGTGTCTTAACGTGCTGTATTACAGGGTAGATGTGACCTGGTGCCTTAACGTACTGTGTTACAGGGTAGATGTGACCTAGTGTCTTAACGTGCTTTATCACAGAGTAGATGTGACTTAGTGTCTTAGCTTGCTGTATAACAGGTTAGATGTGATCTAGTGTCTTAACGTGCTGTGTTAGAGGGTAGATGTGACCTAGTGTCTTAACGTGCTGTATTACAGGGTAGATGTGATATGGTGTTTTAATGTGCTGTATTACAGGGTAGATGTGACCTGGTGTCTTAACGTGCTGTATTACAGCGTAGATGTAACCTATTGTCTTAACGTGCTGTATTACAGGGAAGATGTGACCTGGTGCCTGAACGTGCTATATTACAGCTATGCACTGAATGCAGAAGAAACAAATCTTATCACACATACAAATATATTTCCATAACGAGGATGACTCAGACCTGAATAAATATATATATATACTCTTGTTATAACAATTTCGTTAAATATTTATATATATATGTATATAAACGATCTACTGATAATAATGATACTACCATATTTATTTGAACATACTTTCGTGACAAGGGCGACCGAATGATATTTTTTTCCAGCTTGATTTTGTTAGAAACAAACGGTATTGGTTAATATTTTTTACTGCCATTGTGTGATTTTGACAAATTCAAGAATTCAGTTCATTTATATCAGGTGTGTTAAGTTTCACATAGCAAAGTAAAATCTACAAAGAAAATTTATTTGAAAAGAATACAACACCAGTTAACAACTTTGTTCCAATATCTATCCATCTGGTGTGTCTGCTCATATTTTTTTATTTAGTACAAACTGCTCTTGAAGATAAATACAGAAGATGATTAATTATTTTCAGGTAATGTTATCAAGCAATGCATTTTCTACTAATGTTGTCAAGTAGTATCATTTTCCATCAATCTTATCAAGTAGTGTAATTTGCTAATAATGTTATCAAGCAGTGTAATTTGCTAATAATATTATGAAGTAGTGTCATTTTCCATTAATGCTATCAAGTAGTATCATTTTTAGTAATGTTATCAGGTAGTGTAATTTTCTACTAATGTTGTCAAGTAGTATCATATTCCACCAATCTTATCAAGTAGTGTAATTTGCTAATAATGTTATCAAGTGGTGTCATTTTCCATTAATGCTATCAAGTAGTATCATTTTCCATTAATGTTATCAGGTAGTGTCATTTTACATTAATGTTATCAAGTAGTGTCATTTTCTAATAACGTTATCAAGTAGTGTAATTCTTAATAATGGTATTAAGTAGTGTCATTTTACATTAATGTTATCAAGTAGTGCAATTCTTCATAATGGTATCAAGTAGTGTCATTTTCTAATAATGTTGTGAAGTAGTGTCATTTTACATTAATGTTATCAAGTAGTGTTATTTTCCATTAATGCTATCAAGTAGTGTCATTTTCCATTAATGTTATCAAATAGTGTTATTTTCCATTAATGTTATCAAGTAGTGTCATTTTCCATTAATACTACCAAGTAGTGTCATTTTCCATTAATGTTATCAAGTAGTGTTATTTTCTATTAGTGTTATCAAGTAGTGTCATTTTCCTTTAATGTTATCATGTAGTATCATTTTCCATTAATGCTATCAAGTAGTGTCATTTTACATTAATGTTATCATGTAGTGTCATTTTTAGTAACGTTATCAAGTAGTGTAATTCTCTATTAATTCTGTCAAGTAGTGCAAGTTTCTAATAATGTTATCAAGTAGTGTCATTTGCTAATAATGTTATGTAATAATGCTGTAATATTTAATAACGGTATCCAGTAGTGTAGTTTTCTAATAATGTCATCAAGTATTGTAATCTTTTTAAAATTTTATCAGTCGAGTATTGTAATTTTTAAATAATGTTTCAAGTGATATACTTACCTGACAATTTTATCAAGTAGTGTAACTTTATGATAATTTTATCAAGTAGCGTAACTTTTTGATAATTTTATCAAGTAGCGTAACTTTCTGATAATGTTACCAAATAACGTAATTTTCAAACAATGTGATTGCATTAAGTTACATCTAAAGAAAAATAATTTACTCTTTAACCTAGGTTACGCTCCTGATATTTTGTCGTGTAGAATATGCATTCAAGTTTTATGGGCGCCAACATTTTTATCCAGAAAAGTGTTGATAATTTGGGCCCTGTATACAATGTGCCAGAAATAGCAGCTTTTCCGAACAAAATCAAAACGTATATATTAAAGTCCCAGCATAATTTGAACTTCTGTATTAGTTTTACGTCATAGCTTTCAGTGTCTTGTGTTATAAAACACCGTCAAACGTTTCACTTGGAAACGTCCATACCAAGAGACACGTGTTCTACCATTCTATAAAACAGCAAACCGAAGAAACTAAATAATTATAAAATGATACTATTTAAGGCTCTATTTACGCCGGTCGTAACGAGATTTCAATGGTTATATTTAGGACGTTTACACTATGCATGAATATGTAGTGAAATAGGTAGAAAAGGGGATATTATCAAACATGACAGCCATTTCTATACTTCCTGTCCTTATTAACGTGTTATATACCTGAAACATGAAATTCTAAAATACACGTTAAAATGTAGAATTATCCAGGGACTAGTCTATGGTTCGACATGCCGTAAACTCATTGTCAATAGTTGTTTAGTAATGTAAGAACCAATCGGCATAACCAAAACAAAAACATCTACTCGAAAATAGCAAGTCTCAGAATATATGATTGCATAGGCATAGAGTTAATTGGTTAATTGTATAAATATAACCATCGAAATTACGTTCCTCATTTGTCCATCTCTGTTGCAGACGGCCCGGCATGGCCAGATGGTTAGGACGCCCGACTCGCAATCTGCGGGTCGCGGGTTCGCATCCCCATTCCACCAAACATGCTCGCCCTTTCAGTGATGGTCAATCCCACTATTCGTT